AAAGCTTGTCCGCAAGGAGGCCCTTGTATTCGTTTACAATCTGTTCACTTGAACCATAGATAGCCACAAGGGTCTTGATGGCATCCCCTCCTGATCGCCACTTACCGTCGCGGGAAGGTGCGTCTATTGGATCCGGTTCCCAATTGTTGTACGCATCCACGTCGAAGTGAAGATCTGCGTCCAGGTCTCCATCTATTGACAAGCATTCATGTTCATCCTGTTCCCGTACGCTCCGACTTTGTGCTTGAGAGTCGTCCCTTGATTGTCCATCTCCATCTTCGTCCGCAGGTTTTTTTGTGCGACCCCTCTTCAATTCTTGATAGAGTTCCCCATCCCCAGTCATGTCACTCACAATGCATCTCACGGTGTCTGGCCTTCGGCGCAAATAATCATGTACAGGACCACTGACGTTTTCCAGAATCACATCACTCCTGTCCAGAAATCGCAAAGCTCGGATCATATTCACGTACTGCTTTAGAATTTCCGAAGTCATCGTTCCGGCATTAAGCATTTTGTCTGTGAATTGTTGCCGTAAAGCGTTAGTCACATCAGGTTTCAGGTCTGTTGACGCAATACAGTCTTTTAAATCTTCCAGGGCGGGCATGCTCTCGGGAAATAGATCTATGAGAGTCAAGAGTTGCCCAATTCTTATATTCCCAACACTGTTGTGTAAATGAAACGACATTCGTTTTCTCCATTGGCAAACCTGCTGCTCTCGAGCTTCATCCACCCCGTTCTGTATAATTCTCTGTTGGGCACCTACCGGCAAAGAGCTTGTTGAACTCACAGATTGTGGCAAGACAGTTCTCACCCATGGCACCAAAAATTCCTCAACCCATTCCCACATAGTCGGCAACGCCCTTTCGCCAAGCGCTGCAGCTGTTCTTTCCCCCACGACCCCATCAATATTCTCAAACACAACGCAACTAACAACATCTTCGACAACGCGTGAAAAGCCCAAGCCATTCAATTGAACGCAAAGCGCATGAGCTTGCTCCGCCTTTCCCATGAGCTCTGACAAATTCTGTAGAGAATCCGATACGTGGGTGCCTGCCTGGTTTCCGAGCAGGCGATGTATAACATTAGGAAAAGATGGAGGAACCATCAACTCAAGAATGGTCCTACTGTTCAACATGAACCGTTGCACGATTTCAGAACTGCTATCGCGAAGCTGGTTCTCAAGATCCCGTATGCTTCGCAACATCTCCTCGAATTCGATGTAAACGATAGCAATTACTTCCCGAACGTCCTCCTCACGGCAAGTCCTTGCACTGACGACTGCTTGCAGTCTCTCGCCCAGAGCTTTAATACGGTCCTCGTATAAGCGCACAGCCCACAAACCAAGTATCCTGCCCATTCCTGAGGAAAGCAGAGCTTCAAGAGACTTGTTCCATTCTCCAGCACTGACATCGGATCCCCGAGAAATTCTTCTCGTGCATGTCTCCCATGCTGATGCAACGTCAGTCATACTGCGCTGTTCTCGTTTTCACGGGATCAATAAAGAAAAAGACTTTGGACGTAAGCCTGCGACTGTCTCCGCTCGGAGAACGTTATTCACGCGAAAGCAGCTCGATTCCCAAATGCGGCATTGCTTCCGACTGGGAGTGCTCGCGTGAACAGGAGCGTTTCCGTCGGAAGAACACTTGCCGGAAAGAAAGTTCCCGCCACAACTGGCCCTGTCGATACCAGCAAGGTCACTTGCCAGCACCGCATAAGTGTTTAAACCATGAGAGATACTGTAGCACTCAAGAGGGTGGGTATGCGGGCCCTTCAAGGGCCTACTCGCCAATTACTAGCTTTCAGAATTTTTTGCAGATTTTCGGAGCCTGGAATTGAGAACTCCAATGAGCCAGGGAACCATCATCAGGCTGAACGTCGCAACTGCACGTTGCATTGGAGCCCATCTCCCGATCGCCGATTCTTGCGAGCACGGGTACAGCGTCATAGCACCGCAATCATGGGTGGAAACGAACCAGGTACGCATCGGTGCTAAACCATCCCACGATTCTTGTTCAAACGCTCATAGGAGATTTCTGACTATTGGTCTCGCTTGTCCCCATGTGGTCACTGATCTCGATAACATGCGGTTGGGGAATTTCCGCGAATAGTTGGTGAAGCGAAAATGCAAGTTACTCGAGAAGAGATGATGGAGGCGCGTAAGTTGAATGGCAACTGAATACAGTCTCTAGTTAGAGAAGTGGCGCCTTCCACTTTCCCATTAGGTTCAGGAAGAGACACGGTCAGGACGTTTTTCTAACATCAATAGATATCTTTGCACTAATCCAGGAATCCCGAATCACTGGAGAGACTTTTGCGCTCACAAGCTTATCCCGTTGAACAAATGTCGCCGAAAGAACTTTTTCCTTCCATTCCGCTGTGAAGAAGAACGCCACGAATACGAAAAATGCCAGCATGATCAGTAAGTTTGCGACAAGCAGTTAAATGCTACATCCATCTAAGTGAGCCTGTCGTGTTAACCCCTCGGTCAATGGAACTTGTATGCCTTGTCTCTATGTGATAGATATATGCGACGTGTTGCCGAGATGAAGGCTATTCTGAAAGAACAAAAGAAGGCAGCTAGAGAGGCCGCTGATGCTGCAGAAGAGGCCGCTGCTATCGCTGCTGCTGAAGCCAGAGCACAGTAGGGCGCATGGGGACAAACGTCTCGACGTCCGAACTGCGCAGCATGCTTTTGACTTGAAGGAACAGTGTCTTTGTATTTGTTTCCTCTGGCGTGATTGCCTGGATGCGTCTGCTTGGAGCCGCGCGAATGCGATATGTCTGGTTTTCCCCAGCCTGAGCTGTAAAGATTTTTTCCGTTCCTTCCTGAAGGCTTCTGCGTGATTTTCACCAGTCTTAAGCAAATTTTTGCTACTTTTTTCTTAACTGGATTCCTTCATACCATTCCTCGTGTGTGATATGCGCTGGCGTTTTAAGTGAAGAAGAAGCACCCTCAAGCACATTCCTAAAGGAGTAGAGCACAATCAATCCCACAGAGAGCAGCCACTGCCCCTACTTATAAGCCCAGTGGCAATCATGGAGGAAAAAAAACATGTAAAAAAAATACGGGCCCACCAAACTGGGGTTTTTGGTGGGTTTGCCTCTCTTGCATCATTCCTCCAATAACTGATCGAACCTCTCCGATCGGCCAGCAAGATAAGTACTGGTTCTCCTTCTCCTTCTGCACAGTTTTGGGGAGGCGAAAACGAAACCACCATCGCGTCCCTCGCCTTGATGGCTTTCTCACTAATGCGCATTGCGCTTCAGCGCGGTGCTCGCATTGTAACCCCAGGATGGTCCATGTCACGGGCGCTATCAACGCTCCCTGATCATAAGCTTATCCGAATGCCTGCTCTGTCTCCAACTATGGAAGTCGGAACCATCCAGGAATGGAAGAAAAAGGAGGGTGATCCTATCGAAGGCGGAGATGTCATTGCAGAGATCGAAACGGACAAGGCAACGAGATCATATGAATATAATGACGATGGCTTCATGGCAAGGGTATGTATCCATTAACCACAATGAGTCACGCTTATTTGTTTTGAAAAAAATGCGACGCATCAACTGACGCAGCAAGGCTGGGACTCCATGAACGCTGAATCGAAAATCTAACATGTATTCTTCACCTTGGATTCAACTCGAATTCGCGCTCCACAGGTTTTCTATGAGGAAGGCTCTGCTGATGTTCCCGTTGGGAAGCTCATGGCAATCATTGTCGAGGAAGAGGGGGATATTGCAGCATTCAGGGACTACGAACCTCAGGAAGATGGAAGCGCCGAAGCTGAGCCGGCATCAGAACCGGAACTGGAGCCACCCGGGCCAGTGGCTCCACAACCCTTCTCAACAGCTTCTGTTCCAGCAGCAGCGCCAGCACCAGCCCCTCAGAGCATATCTCCGGAATCTCGTGTGCTCGCCTCCCCGCTGGCCCGTATGACTGCTGGGAATGCAGGTGTGGGCCTCTCCCAAGTAGCGGGAACTGGTCCTGACGGTCGCATCATTGCTGCAGATGTTGAAGAAGCGCTCACGTCAGGCCTGCAACCAGCGCAAGAACCGATGATTGCTCCATCTCAGCCAGCGATCGGCATGTCTGCCTTCACCGATGTTGAAGCATCTAAGTTCAGGCGAGTTGCAGCGGAACGTTTGCTGCAATCCAAGCAAACTGTGCCACATTACTATCTCTCTGTTGACTGTGAGGTGGACACTATGGTTGCGATGAGATCATCTATCAATTCAAAGGCAAAGGACGGAGATTACAAAATCAGTGTCAATGACTTTGTCATCAAGGCAGCAGCAGCAGCGCTGCGCAAAGTCCCGGAAGTCAATGCGCAATGGATGGGGGACAAGATACGCATGTTTCATTCCGCCGACATTTCGGTCGCTGTCCAGACTGACCAAGGCCTTATAACACCTATCGTCAAAGAAGCAGATAGGAAGGGCCTGAAGGAAATATCTGAGAACGTTAAAGAATTAGCTGGCAAAGCCAAAGAGAACACCTTGGCTCCAGAGGAATTCATGGGTGGCACGTTTACGATTAGCAACCTCGGAATGTTCGGAATTAATAACTTCTCCGCCATCGTCAACCCTCCGCAAGCGGCAATTTTGGCTGTCGGAAGTTCCGACACACGCGTCGTGCCAGACGGAACAGCAGAGTCTGGTTTCAGCATTAAGACCTATATGAGTGTGACTTTGAGTTGTGACCATCGTGTCGTCGACGGGGCAGTTGGAGCCCAGTGGTTGAAGGAATTCAAATCCTGCATAGAGGATCCAGTTAATATCATCATGTGACTTTTTCACTAAAATTCCCATCGCTTACCGGAGATACAGTACGAAGTCCTTTTGTCATCGACCAGAGAAGCTTTCGCAGTCAAGTACCTGCCTCCCCGTAAGTGCCGTCGACGGTCGCGCCCATCGTTTCAGGGTTATTCGATCACTGCTCTAAAGCAATCAAGAAGTCAGAGCGAACGAATATGCAGCCGGAGGCACACACGAGCGGTTTCGTCGGCTCGATATCTTCAAGCCTTGTCCAGTATAACCCCAGCAGAAGCAATAGCCTCCGCTGTGCGAAGCCAAATGTAACAGAATCTCAGACATCAAAAAGTCGCCGTTGTCGCTGGTTAATGGCGACCCCTTCGCATGTGAACGGGGCCACTGCTGTCGCTCCCAAAGCTGTTAACAAATGGAGTGGAATGACGCTGCATTTTGTCGCTCTTGAAGTTTCTCGTGACAAACGCAATTCGAAAGAACTGAACGACCACATTTTAGAGAGGCTTGAGGTAGAGGGAGATCCGGTCCGGTGGGCAGTTGTTGCGGCAGATGAAGAAAAGGGAACATGCTTTATAGAAGCAGTCGTATCAAGGTACGGACAAAGAGCGGTAAGCAAGCGGTTATCCGAGTTTGACTCGCCTTCCTAAGCATGGTATTTGAGATGAGTCCCCATCAATTTCAAGTAAATGCAAATTAAACCCCATATGCCATCCCTTTAAACATACAAATCCGGGTCCCGCCGTGCGGTAAGAGAGTTTTTTAACTCACAGCGCTAAGCACTATACGTCTCATTCTCTTCTTCCCAACAAGATTTTTTCTTTCTCAGCTCCTCCTTCTCCTCGAGCATGCCAAACACAACCTGTCCCAAGCATTTGGCATTGTCCGGCGATGGCATTTCTTTGACCCATCCCACCTTGACACGGCCTCCAACGGCCCATGCATAAAACTTAGTCTTGTCAAAGTCGAGCTTGGATACGTTTCTTTCTACTACCACAGCAATATCAGCATCATCAGAAATAGAGAGCTGTGCCGCTGACAACTCTTCAGCGGGGATGAGAACTGCAACCGGGTCCATGCACTTTGCAATCACTTCCAAGCCTTGCATTGCAATGATTTGCCCTTGGTACCCGGGTGGGAGCATAGTAACGAACATATTTCCAGCGTTGGGCGGTCGATTCTGCAACACGGGCGGTGTTTCCATGAACTCCTTGACTGTTAGTTCTGGGACACGCCCAGCAACTGTGAGAATGCGAGGGAAGTGCTCTTCAGCCTCTACCGCGGACATACTAAGAAAGCGACTCCCTTCTCCATGTTTTCCAAGCGCAAAGGAAAGGTTGGTATTGTTAGAGGGAGTAACGTTTTGGACGGCAGGTTGCGCCGGTGCTTGTGGCGGTGGTGTACTGGCTTGCGGTGGAGGAACGGATTTTTCCTTTGCTATACGCTCGCGCATGGCCCGAAGCTCTTCGAGTTTCTTCTGAAGTCTCTTGATTTCTTCACTTCCTTGAACGTTCTCCCGAGCAATCATTTTTGGCTGGTTGCGGGAGCATACTGGAGCGGCACGCGAAGCAGGCCTAAGCCCCGGTGCAAACGTGGAAAAAGGAACGAAAGCGGTGTCAATACCCATGATTGAATCGGAGAAATGCTCACGCTGTCTTTCAGAGTATAAAAAGCAGCCTTTCTGCACACGAAGACTTGGCGGAGTGCGACGATTTGTGTTGGGAGCGTTGCTCCTTTCTCGTTGCGACGCATGAGAGCCTCAATCGTCGTGATCTCGCGCACAAGTGCACAAGTGCACACGTGTACAGTGCAGTAGATGTAGATGCGTAAGTGGTATGATAACGAAGCAATATCATTATAGTGGCTACTTACAGTAGTGACTGGGATCGGGTGCTCTCGTAATATAGCGCCGAGCAACTTTTAGAAAGCAGCGGTTAGGGGAGGTGTAGCAATTCACAGTGTTGAGGTGATACATTCGTGGTTAGAGTATATCTTTGTACAACTCTTAGAAAGACAGGAAAAGACGAATGAGACACCGAAAAAGAGAAAGAAATAGATAGAGATAAAGGTAGAGGTAGAGGTAGGGAGACAGGGAGAGGGAGACAGGGTCCTTTTGCGATGCCCCTCGACGGCGGGTGTCCTGTCGAGGGCTGTCTTTTCCGAGGGCATCCCCACCCTTTATCCTGATTTTTATGTCATCGCGCGCGCGTATCGGCGGTGCGAAGTCGAGTCTTGTCGGTGGCGGCCCCACGAGGGCCAACTGTCCGTGCTTGTGCCCCGATCACGTAGATCGGGTTACGCAAATCGGAGGACGACCCTCTCGTTCTCGGCCCTCGTCAGTGCGCTCGATGTCCGACCCTCCGTAAGCGGCTGCCGAAGTGGTAGGGTTCGTGCAGCAGACGTAACAGAAAGGAAGTCGGTGCAAAGAGATGCCGGCATGCTTTCGCTTCCCTTATAATTTGCCGGTGCGTTCCCTATAATTCCAGCTCTGCATTGGAATAGGAGACCTCAGCACACGCCGCCAGGCACACGCTCCCCGGAATTCACCGGTATTTCTGGCGGAGACAAAATTACTCCTCAGGCTCACTCTTCCACACACCGCTTCTTGCGTACAGTTCCTTTTTAGCTCTCCATGCCTTTAAAACGAGGTGCTCAATTGCGAGTCCGCACTACAACGGCCATGCAACCCAGCATCTGCATGTCTTTCATATTCCCGAATGTAGAAATACACGTGTGTATACACATGTATCGTCTCAGATTGGTAAAAGACTCTCTTCGTCTCGCCCGCTCCGTCGCCAGCAGCCTCACTACCGGATCGCCCTACGGCGTACGACGTCAGAGTGCGCAGTCCCTGCTGTACCGGCGCTGTCGTGTCAGCTGCTCGGCACGTCCTGGGTGGTGCTGAATCGGCCCCCCACAGTGGTAGATACGGGGGTCGCGATATAGTGCCATCTTTGTTAGTGCCAGCTCCGATATAGTGCTATACTTCTAATGGTGGCACGAATTTTGAGCGAAAAACAAAGGGTCTCCAAAGAGGCAGTTGGATGGACGTCCTGCCCGAGAGCCGCTGCTGCTGCGGAAAGATATTGTGCTATTGCTAACTCAACTAGAACTAGAGACTATGGAGGAAAAAAGCAGGGTCGATGATGCAATTGGACATCTGCGAAAGTGTAGGCAGGCATTTATGGCTGCGAAACAGGAGGAAGTCAATGCGACGGCTCGGCAGCTACTAATAACAGAAATGCTCGATTAGACTCGAGTCTTTAGTGGAGATGTAAAGTAGGAGTGATGGCGTCCTGCGAGCGGTCTTTCTTACCAGTGATGCAAGGAAGTGGCCTGCAAAAAAGCCGTAAATCTCATTTTCTTATAGTGCCTTGTTCGATATACTGCCGTTTTAGGCCCACCGCTACAGGGTAGCACTATATCGCGACCCCCCCCCCCCCCCCCCCCCCCCCCCCCCGCCCCCCCTTGTAAACAAAATCGTCGTGATGGTAAAAGAGACGTCCTCGAGAATCCGAATCAAATCTGAACCTCAGATCGGTCGCTGGAAAACAAACAGAGTAGAAATAAACACAAGGACCTGTACAAACAAAGCCTGAAAACTTTTGTTTTTCTGGCTGTGATTATTCCAGGCACGACAATTTCAGCAGAAACTCACCTCACAAAAGGGTTCAGTGATTAATCAGGCCCTAAATAAGCAAGCGTGATAGCGGGAAATCGGCAGCAGGTGAGGCCTGTGCCACAGCAGGGTTGCGACGGCACCGAAGTCGGGGTCGGAAGTCGCACTGTCACTGCGTACGGTGCATTGCAGTACGTGTAGTCACGATTAAAGAATCCCCTTTCTGCTACTCCTACATACTGTAGTATGCTGCGATGCATAACTTTTGCTAACCCTGTGCTCCGGTTTGTGACGATTTAGGGCGTCACAAAAAGTGAGACGATTTGTGTGACGATTTGTGAGAGCTTTGCTCTTTTCGCCGCCGTCGTCTCATTCGTCTCACTCCATCGTCTCGAACGTCACACATGGTTTGTGAATATTTGTTGAGTTGTAGCACTTTTTGTGAACGTTTTGTGATCATCACAAAAATCGTCTCAAACATCACACATTTTTTGTGAATCTTTTGTGATGATTTTGTGAGACGCATCTCAAAACTCTCAAACGTCAACCTTAAAATCAAAACTCTCACACTGACAGTGTGAATTTTGTGATGGTTTTGTGTGAGTTGTGTGAGGGCACCACAAAGATCACATATAAAAGGCTCTCCATCTCAAACGGCAAACAAACTGAACAACGTCACACAAAAAATCTCCCTTTCCAGCCATCTACGGCTAGTTTCCAGAGACACTTCCCCTTCCCTTCGTGTTTGCAACTGCCACACTAAGCACCATATTTCAGAGGACATTGCGGGTAAGCTGATGGCTGAAAGGTTCCAACCCCCCGGAGATAACGCCTCCAATCAGCTGGTATCCGCTGATGACAGCTACAATGCTTCCCCTCTTGCTGAACCCCCAAAAAGTGGCAAATTTAATAGTACGCCTCTGAGAGAGGGGTTGGGATCTAGAGCTGAGTATGCCGAACGTCAGCCTATATCAGAGCAAGATTATGATCCCACGCTTCCGTTGACACAGACTGAGCTCCGCAACAACCCACCACCAGCTACCCTTTCTTCCCTTCAGACGTCCCCAGACTTCTTTTACGAAGAAGAATTCTCCCCACCCCCTGTCAGAAATACAGCTCCATCGAACCAGCTCAACAGCGGTGTTGCTACTCATTCCTCGTCTTTCGGCTTACAGACGAACAGCCCTTTGAACGCTGAAGTTGAACAGTTGTTGGGAGGAGGCAGACTCTCTGGACGACAGTGACGAACCCTTTTCACAGGAGTTGCAATTGTCATATTCATCTACTTCGTCTTGCGAGGTTCAAGCTGTAGGAGAAGTTGACACTGAAGTCACAGAGACCGAGGTGCGATCTTTGCACCCTGGTTCATACCTGACGTCCCAGATGCAGCAGACGGACACAGGTGCTACCCTTAGCGAAGACCTCTATAGCAGGCTTTACTATGACTTTGACGACGAAAGATATTTCAGGGAGCACTGGGAGGACATCGAAACGACACAGGCAAGAGATTTGTTTACACCCTTCTCTGCTGAAGAGTTGGAGGAGCGCGCACGTGCGCAGAGAAGTGGTGGCCTAGAAGGATGGAACTATGACAGTCCTTTTGCTGATGTTTCTGTCCAGATAGATAACGTGAATAACAGTCTGGAGCGTCGTTTCCTCGAAGAGGCCAATACTGCACTGGAACGAGTTATAAGCGATATAACAAGTAGAGTCGGTACGACTGAGGACGAATGTGATGCCAGGCAGTTACTTACTCCTCTAGCCTGCTTACGCACGTTTGTTACGGAGTGTTTGCTAGAGAAGCTACGATACGTAGCGAACCGTGTGTTGCACCAGAGAAGAAAAGCAGGGACCACGAAGAAGGAGATACTGGGTATGCTTATTCTGCACATCCTCTGTGCTTCATATAATGAGTCCCCTCGAACTGTGTGCGACCCTTTGGAAAGTGGCCACTTCTTTCAAATGGGATTGTCGGCTGACAGATATCATGACCTCTGGAGTGCTCTTGGGGGTTCTAAAGACCCCCGCGCAGCGCATGACTACTCGAGCACGGGCTGGTCCCGCTCAGCTAATAGAGCAACTACTCTAATTACAGAGCTTGAAGCTGAAACTGCGGCCATAAATCGGGACCTGCTTTATGTTCCAAAGGCAACTGTCTTCTCTTTAGATGATGACCACTTGCGTATGGCATCTCGTTCAGTTGTTGAACTGACCTATTTACAACAACACAATAATCCTAAGAAGGGTCTAGGGCCGGTGGGGAACGCACTTTGTTCAGCACTTCACCCTTTTTTTGTCGCATGTCATTTCACACGCACGGGCGAAAAGCTCCTTCACACATGGGAGAGGTTGGTGCAAATGATGCAAGGGGCGTCCACAACCGGTGCCCTGCGTCCTATGCCACATGCCATTTTTGCTGCCGACCGCGGCTATAATTCTAAGGAAACTATCGCATTCCTGTCGGACAAACTGGGGGCAAGCCTCCTCGGTACGCACAAACGTGATTTGTGGTACCCGTTTGTGTTCGGAGATGGCCCTATATCAGTCCGACACCGTGGGATGGACGTGTCTGAAAGAGGGTGCCGTGCCGTGTACACGGCTAAGCTGAAGGTCCGCGGGGGCTGCGCTTCTCACGTTCGACAGGCGGAGGCCTGTGTCTACCGAGAGAGTTGCTCCGGTAGAATTGCGGCTCTTGTCCACAACAACGCCTCTCTCTTCCCCTCGAGGTCTTTCACAGTGGTCCTACGTGACGCCTTTCGCACGGAGGGTGCGTTAAAGAAGCTTGAGGAGTCCTTAATAACCTTTGACAACGGGCGCATCTGCGCTGCCCGGAGTACAAGGGCCACCGCGGCCCAATCGGACCGAGTCAATAACGGCAGAAGTAAGGTTGAACACCTGCTGAATAGAGTTCTCATGCTCACATATTACCAATCAGAGGACCCTATCTGGTTCCTCCTTCGCGCTTTTCGATTCACATCTCGCACTGCGCATGGGTTTAAAGCTGCGGT